GGCGACGATGTCATTAACGAAAGAAAAAAAAAAATAGGAAAAAAAAAACATTTACCGGCACCGACGTAATCGCGACCTGACCACAATTCAGCTTGGAATAAGTTATCGATTCGAGGCACGTAATTTAATATCAAACTGATAATAACGTCGCCGCGCGTCAAAATTAGGGTCTTATTTCGGAAGGCCGTGCACGTACACGTGGACAATATGAGGATCGATGCTCGATATACAATCGGCACAAACTATCGTACGGAGACAACCACATACTTGCGCATTTTTACGTAATAATGTAAATAAGGTGGCAATAATCGATTTAAGATTAATCGTAAAGAATCTACGCGGTCTTGAAATTTATATAATTATTCTATAACTAAACCTACATCAAGAAAAATGGTTGAAAATGAGCGAATCACAAGGATTTCTGATTATATCAATCAGAAATTCCGGTTATCTCAATTAGAATTTTAGTAGATTTAACTAGAAAATTTTTTAATAGATTTAACCAGAATTATCAAAAAAAAATGATGTTATAACAACAGCATTATTTTCATTGAAAATAATTTTGTTAATTCACAATAACACTATTAATGAAACAAATAAAATTGTATTAAAATAAGAGCATGATTATTAACGTATTTCATTAATTTGATTTTAATGTGTTTGTTTCATTAATGGCGTTATTATTATAAATGAACTAAATTATTTTCAATTAAAATAATATCTACTGTTAATACAACATTATTTTTTCCGGTGTACGTAATTCATAAATCTATTCATCTCTTCTATTTAGTGAAAATTCGCATTAAATGTAATAGTAAAACAGCATTTATAATTATAAATTTGTAAAAAAAAAACATCGATATCGTAAGAGATAATATACATCTCTTTCTCTCTCTCTCTCTCTCTCTCTCTCTCCTCCCTCTCCTTCCCCCCCCCCTCTCTCTATCTTTTTGCTTAATATGCTTTCGAGAATTAGTTCATATCAGTTTTCGGAGAAAAACTATTCGTATAATCCAAGATATCGGCGCTTTATCCGGTTTTTTCCGTCGCCGTGCCACTTTTTCGGACGACACGCGCAATACCGTGATTGCGCGATAATGCGAAATGCAGAATGGCGTGAAGACCTTACGCGATATCTTTCCTATACGGTGTTGCCACCTGTAGGATTTTTGCAATAATAAAGCGTTTTGACAATGCTAACGGATTGCAAAGTCCGGCGACAGAATATTGTGTACACGTTTGGAAGAATCCTATATAAGAACTTCTTTATCAGCGACTTTTACACGCTTATCTTAAATAATTTATAAATCTATCAGACTTTAAGATAGAATTTTATCTAATTCTTATATAATTTTTACATAATTTTACATACGTATGTATCTTGATGCCATGAGTGCATTTTAATGTGCATTATACGTGTGTATATTTTAATTTTTCAAATGTATCTCGTACATATAAAATTATAAATAAAATTCTACTATAAATTTCGACACGATTTATGGATCATCTAAAACAGATATAAAATTAAAAAAAAATAAAGAAATATTCGAAAATATCGAAATTATTATTAAGGTGTATTTAAATATTGATGTTTCATCGTTTCGATGCATAATTTTCTTTTCTCACACACCATATTCTTCCAAATAAAATATCCATTTTCTAATAATAAAATATAAATAATTTCAAAATCAGACGCTAACTATTTTAGAAATAAAACTTCTTTTCATGTATTTAGAATACTTTTTCACATATAAAGTAATGTCATGTGTATACAAAATACATCAATTCGAACAATAATAATATTTCTCCGACTTACAAATTGAGAGATTAAAAAATTT